TCACAGAATTTACAGAAAATGTTACATTTTTGTGATTTATATCGTTATCGGACGATAGAATTCTTATATCGGGATATGAGACATATGGGACATATCACACAGCCCTACTTCCATCTGATTTCCACATAAAATATTTGGGTTAATAATAACCAATTACACCAGTGTAACTAATGAAATGGCCAGAGGATGCATTTTCAATATTTTCCTGAACATTTTCTTTTGGCAAAGCAGCAGCATGTTTGACAGCATGTTGATTTTCTAATCACTGGACTTTCTTGGATACAAAGTCTATATATATAGAGTGTTTTACAAAAAGCGATGTTATTAACAGTGAACTCAAAATAACCACAGTGTCTCCTTAAGGATCCCGTCTCTTCAATATCAGTGCAGAAGACTTGATGGTGTCAACACCAGCTTGTCTCGGTGATAGTCGCTGACAGAGTTTTACATTTCAGAGGAATACTGATTGACTGGAAGAAACCTCAGCCTATCACACCGGCTGGTTCTTCTTCTCAATTCACAACTGCAGCAAGTTTGAAAGACCTGTGAGTAATATTACACCCGCCACATCTATGCTTCCCTACAGTCTTTGTCTTCAATCTGTCAGCACCGGTTAAAAAAAATGCCACTCGCCTGTAATTTCTGGTGAGCTTGTATAAAAAAAATGAGACAGCTGATGACAGTTGATGAACACTAACTTCACTGTGGCAAAACGCAGAAGCCTGTGGTGACTAAGGAGTGATGCTGTTTTCATTGTACTCACAGACACATACTATTTGCCATTTATTACAGTCAATTTTAACACTGATCAAAAAAAATGTGTGTGTGGGTGGGGGAGTAGAGCCAGAGGGCACTGGGCAATTTCAGTCTCAGACCAACATAGCCTCTCAGACTGTGACAAATAAGATAAAGAAAATAAGAGCTGATGACAGTTATTCTTTAATAATGTTGGCACTACATTGAAATGAAACAGTGTCATTTTCACCAACAAAGGCTCATCTATCTCATTCCCTGTCAAAATATAAAAACACAGCTGTCTAACTTTCCATTTCTGTGCAGAACAGATGGGTAGCAGTAGCACACTTCTGAGGAAGTATTAGGCAAAGGACCATTAACCTGGGACAGCCAAACCAATAAAAGAAATGCAGACTAAAACAGAATTTTAATTACTCCTATGAATTAGGCTGGTTCTGTGTGACTCAGTGCTGCTGTTATTGTGTCTGTGCATTTCACACAGCAACTTAGTGAAAAGAAAGAAGCCTGCATTTCGCTTTATGTTTGTTAGCTAAAGTCTGTTTAAGAGCACAAACCCTTTAAAAGCCAGTGCCAAAAATGGAACTGGCAGTGCGACTACATTTGCTGTGGTATTCTGCGGGCTTGAGCACATTTTCTGGTAAACGAGTGGTAGCATTACTATGAAATAAGGCAATTTACAAGTAAAATATTTGAGAGCACGAGCTGAAGTTATACTCTCCTTTTTCTGTTACTGAAAAAGCAAAAATGCTCTAAGCATTGTCTCCCGACAACATTCGAGATTAGAGCATCGCCTCTAACAGATCCAGCACTGTTTATGATGGTTATCATCTATGCTTAAACTGTCAAAAAAAAGTAATAAATCTTTTACAGCACTGATTTGTATCTTGATTTCCACTTTTAGGGCTACGACTCAATTACGCCAATTTTTTCTACGCGCTTAAACCAACGTATCATGGTAATTATACATGAGGAAACCTCTTAGAGCCTCGGAGCTGCAGTGACCCACACTTTCCCATTCACAGCATTTCTTTGCTCTTCTCATTATTCTCCACAGAGATAGATACTTCTTGCACTAATTAGAAGCCCTGTCACTAAAAGGCCACCGCTGGGGTAATTGGGGTGATTCTTCACATTTTAATTCACCACTCAGAAAAGGACCTCTGTCGCTCGAGTGCTAATAGTGATGCATGTCTTTGTTAAAAAAAGAAATGCAAAATAAATATTTACAATGAGAAAACAAAAGAAAGAAATCAGGTACCTAGCAAATTTGTAAGACTATAGCTATCTATGTTTGTCTAATTTTACAAAATGTTAACTTTATAAAGGCATTATTAAACTGCTAGCAAAATTTTGTTGACATTTCTCTGATATGGGTTATATATTATATATCTGTGCAGTTTAGGGTCATTGCTAATGAGACTGAGTGACTCAGTATTTAGCACAGTTTGATCTTTTTTCCTTTTCCATTACTTTTGGTCTGTAGCTGCAGCTCTCGTCTAAAAAAACAACATTCAGATCCGCATTCAGAGGTTGATGTCTTGCGAAGTAGGATGAGCTGGCATTTTAGATATAGTTTGTTATTGGAGTTTTTTTTTTTTCATTATAATCTAACAAAGAGCATAACTTAGCATACACTGTGTACTCTGTAAATTTGGTTTAGATATAAAATAGTAACACTGCAGCACATTAAAAAAAGAAGTATAGAATGAACTTTTACCCTTTCACCATTTCACTCTCGCTTGTTCCAGACACAGACAGCAACCTGTGTACGGAGCACTCAGTAAAATGAGCCTCTAAAGTAAAAAAAAATCTACATCAAATATTTTCTGCTCTCAGACTCTATTTGCAAAACAAAGAACACATCCTTTGTTTGCACAGCATGATTCAACCTGTTTTTCCCTGTAATGTTTTCAGTACCGCCAGAAAATGTTCAGCATAACTGTTCGAGAGGCATAAAGAAAATATACATACATACTTAAGGTCATTAACACGAGAGCTTTAATTTTACACTCATCATTTGAGATTGCCTAAAAAAACACCAACTATTTTTGAGAATTTAGTGAACCAAATTCATAATTAAAACAAAAATGCAACCTGTGCTAATACATGAGGATAATTCAGCCATTACTGCTTGTTTTTATCTACATTTGTAGTCCCCTGCCATAAAAATACATGTCAGAAGCTAATTGAGTTATGCATAATGACTAGGACTAAAACAATTTGTCAGCGAATGGCAGCTTGGCTCTGAGAAATTATTATAGTCATTTTTCATTGTTTCTTCACATTTTGCAAGCAGAATGGATAATTGAGAAAATCATTAAGAGCACAAGCAGTAATGACATACTTGTTAGCTGGAGCTCAAATCACGATGGAAACTTTGAACATTTAGTTTCTTTCTGCACGTGACACATTCACTTATGTCATATTGGTTTTAATTGACAGGAGTCTGATAAATAAAAAAGAAAAACAAGTCATTTTTAAAACATAATTTCCATTAGAATCTTTCCAGAGCTCGAAATGTTGCTCTAAGTAAAAACAGGCAGAACTGCATTTATTTACGACAACAACAACCTCCAGGTAAAAACGCAGCTGACTGCAGAACAGCTAACTTTGAGTCATTTATGTTGTTAAGACCACTAATTATACCACACACAGAATATTCATACCAACAAGCAAAACATCACACACATGCGTACACACAGGCATACAAAGGTCAAGCAAAATATACCCCTTGTTGATTACATGCTGAGATCAGAACTGTGGAGGGAATTGAAACAATATTGTAACAATTAGACTGTCCTTGAAGCTACCTAACAACCCTGTGGCACCACTGCTTAAAAATGCATGTGAGCAAACGCAGTCAAGCACACTTGGCTACACATATTTAAAAAGCTTCTTTATCCTTGGCATAAGGAACAAATTTTAACCACAGTGCAGTCTTGAGCCACTCCTCATTTCTTTATGTTTTGCTTTGAAGGAACCACACTTTCTTTTTTTTAAATAAGAATTCAGCAAAAGGTCTTTGGGCTTTCTGAATGTCTTTCAGAGGTTTTCTTCCGACATTGGCTGATTTTTCAGTGATTTTCAATCTAGTCCTTGAGCTCAGAAATCTCATGAGAAACGGTTTTAGTGGAAGGGACGATGTAAAACAAGCCATCCTTAAGAAGAGACCCGAGGAAGAAAGGCTATGGAAGGCCCAATAACTGGACTGAAAATCAGTGGCATCAGGTGCTATGGAGCGATGAATCCAAAATTAAAATTTTTGGTTCAAAATGTCATAAATGAACACACAAAAGTGTAATCACATTTTGATCCATTAAACACAGCTAACAGGGATCTGAATGGCAAAAGCTTCATTTTTCAGCATGACAGTGATACCAAACACACTGCCAATGTAGTAAAAGCATAGCTGGACAGAACAAACACACAATAAAACACAATCAGCCACAGATTGGCCTCCTCAGTGTCCCAGATCTCAATATTACTAAAGCAGTGTGGGATCATCTTGACAGAGAACACAAAAAAGGCAGCTAACACCAAAAGAAGATCTTTGAATGTCCTTCAAGAAGCCTGGAGAACTACTCCTGAGGACTACTTAAAGAAATGACTATACATTTTGCCCAGAAGAGTTCAGGCAGTATTATACTAAATTAATGTAATGAATAAATAGATACTGAACATTGACTTTCAAGTTTGTTAGAACTGTACAAACTCTGTTGTTGCCATTGTTGCTGTATTTTCATGTGTGTTTCAGTAAATGGCTGCACATATTCTATCCCTAGTAAATAAATACTATATTGCCAGAAAATATAAATAAATACAGGTTGGCTCAAGAGTGCTGAACATCAGCATCTCTTTGTTCTTTCTTTCTTGTTTTTTATTTCAGTAATGTTTAGTGTGTACAGTAATCAAACTTTATATTCTTTAACACAATCATAACTATAATAAAGTGCCAACTTATAGGCCAACAAAAGCCAGCAGTAGCTGGTGATATACAAGCACGTTATTGTATGTGAACAGATGGACATTGAAGAAGTTTAAATGATTTTAAATGGCAGGAAAACAAATCTTCACACCATTTGTAAAGCAGCTAAAGATCGAAGCACCACCGAGGTGTTGTAGCAGAAGCAGAAATAGGCAAGTTAACCACTGTGAGTGATTTGATGCTTCTCTGCTAAGGGATTGATGGCCGCCATACCGCTGTTAGAAACTGCTAAATAACTCAGAGTACAAATCATGTTGTTGCTCTCAGTGCTAAAGGTGCAGCGGCAAGTTTAAGACCTCAAAATCTTAACTGGTTTTATCTAAGAGTTTGTTTTGGGAGGAAATCTCAGGCCTTTTAGTTCAAAAACGTAACGTTCAAGCCTATGTGTCCAAAGGCTTTATTCAATTTAACCTGCATGCAGTCATGCTGTGATTATAAAATAAACTGTGACAGAAAAACCTTTCTCAGGGTCACATTTCAACCACAGCAGACGGTAGAATGTTTTAATAACTGAGGTCACGCTGGAATGAAGAGGAAATAGCTTCTCAGATAGGAACAGAATTTAAATCTAAGAATCTAAGCGTGTTCTATGTACAAAGAAATGTGTCCACACTGATGGAGATCTGCATTTTAATGTAATGTCATTAATTGCTTAACTGCAGGTGAAATATGTATAGACCCTCTTAGCCTTCACAAGTGATTTGTATTGTTTCATTCTTCCAGCACAGCCGGCTAAAGCTATATTTTGCTGATATTGGTGAGACCGGCAGCATATTTCCCTTGAGTGCTCAAATGCAATTTTATGTGTGAGCTAGAAGTGGCAAGGCTGTCTCACGGTACATAGATGTGTGAACAGTAGCGAGCTCACACTCACGCACAAATCAAAAACACACAAACCAACATAAATGCAAACAAAGGCATATGAAGTGCTATGTCTGAAAATCTATGATGTATTATTCAAAATTCGTTGCTCTGTGTTTGTGTACGGCTGATTCATTTGTTGAGATTTAGGGGGAAAGAGCTGAAACTGGCTGGCATCCAAACACATACTGTAGTACATGCTGCTCCAGAGTAAACCTTACAAATAGCCATACAAACCTGAAGTGTCTCCTGACGGGATTGTCATCTGTCAGTGTAACCTGCTTTGCATGACAGACATGTAAACAGTCACTCCACACTACAAAAGCACACCACCGACTCCTTAGCATAATCCCAAAACACTGACATCACTGTATACCTCTGTACTCACATCCCAATTATCCAGGCCCTATGTAGAAACACACAATGCCTACAGCACCCCGCGTAGCATCCCACATGGCATCATTAAAGTCAAACAAGCTGCCTGAATGTTTTATGTGCCGCTCTCCTCACCCTCTCCATGTGCCAGGGCTCTCTTCTCTCAATCATCTCTTTCTTTCTTTTTTTTACAAATCCATTTTTGTCCTGTCTTATTTTTCTCTTGTTGTTACATACAGCTTCACTTTCTCCATCACACTGTCATGGTGTTTTTCGATTATACTTTGTTCACGGTTCATTGTCTGTTTCTCTTATATCTGACAACAGCGTGCTTCAGAGTTTGCCGTCTGTCATCACAGTACAGAGTGAGAGGAATGTAATGTAAGAAAAAAAAAAACAGCTTATTTCCAAAATAGTTCATTATTACTATTGGTCTCTATTACTAGAGCCTGACCGATGTATCTGCAGGGGTTATCGGCCATTATTAGCTATTTAAAGATACTGGCACTTATAATTAAAGGAACATTTAAAAAATAAAGAAGAGACCAGAGAAAGACCTGTTAACCAAGGTGTGAATTCTGATATCGAATAGTCTGTCCACTAGGGAGGCCTCTGCAACTTCTCAGATGGAAACGTGTTTGCAAAGCTGCAAACACAACAGCCAGCTGATCCGAGCAGAGTCGGGCAACGCGTAAATGAGCAATCCACAACTTGTTCTGAATATAAAATGGTATTAAACATGTTTTGTGTGTATGATAAGAAATAAAAATTATTGGCTAATATATCGCATGTTTAGATCACCAATGTTACGTCCCCACAGGATGTAACAACCAAATATCGGTATTGGTATCTGTCTTAAAAATCCTATTTATGAAGAGTAGAAAATCTTGAGTTGAGTGCAAATCCAGATATCAGAACTGTTTTAGAATGAATTTTTGTTATAAATCCAAAGAAATAAATCCATTTCTCCTTAGGTCAGTTTACATTTTGGGTAACAATGATGCATACATTTAAATACCATCACTTCACTCAATGCAAAAAACTGCTCCCAGGCTCTTATCAGTACAATTTTGTAAGACTACACATTAAAAAGATTTCCACAGGGCAGGACCAGAGAGGGCAGAATCTATTGATATGATGTGCAGACATAATTCAGGATCACCAACTAATCCATGATATCGATCTGTCTATGCAGCTCTTTGACAGTAAACACCGACTAATGGCACAGTGTGAAGGTTAACTATAACAAAGTCGGAGTAAGAGGAGGGTTTTGTGCCTCAGTGCTTTGCTGCTATAAACACACATTTTCATTTTACAATTATATGCTTGTTATTGACGAAAGCCCTCTAGGTGGTTATACAAACACTCTAGGGTACAAAAGGACAAAAAGACGAAGGGAATTGTTGAGCAGAATTCAATTAATCCTTTTTTTTCTCCATGGATAACAAGAAAATTACTGTTTACAACACAGTTGAGTATAAATTTAAACATCAAACTTCTCTCAATAGCTCAGTGAAACATATAAAACGCTTAACAAACAGAAACCAACAATACCTCTGAATAATTACAAAACAATGCAACAAAGTTTTGTGGGTAGGGGACTTTGCAAAAGTCTATTTATGACAACAGATACAGTGGCAGCACAGCTACTATTGTGGGTAAATCACAATTCAAACAAAACAAGAGATGGTGCCGCTGAATAAAGGTTTAAAAAAGTAAACGATTTGCCACTTGATGCTGTTTCTCGTGTTAAGCCAAACTGCAGCAGCATCTGTTCTACCCTACAGCTTAAACCTATGGTGAGTCTTTATTAACAGCAAGCTAGCCATCAGTTTTACAGGATCTGTAATTAACTCCAAACCGCAAACAGTTTATACTTACCATCAGCTACAAACAGGCGACGTGAAACACAAGTGATCCTCTAAATAATATAACACTAAACCATTTAAAGATCAAAAACAGGAATCTGTCTGTAACTGAGAGCTGAATTCATTTGCACTTGGCTGTGGCCCAACTTTATGTGGCGCCTGTCCTGTGACTGTGCTTTACCTGGATCCATGGCCATCTGTCATTTTCGGCTGCAGTCCAGGCATTGACCAGCCCCTTCTTGTTGAGCCTTGCAAAGTACGGGTACCACTTCTGTAGGCCAAAGAGAGCACGGTGGGTAGAAGAGGCCGTTATCTGTTGGTTGGAGATTATACCGCCCTCCATGCCCAGTGGGCCAGCGCATTCTGAGAGAACAGAGAGACACAGAGAGGAAGCGATAGATGAGTCCTCCTATCATTCTAACACTCAGAAATGTGGGAAAGTGAGTTTCTGGAATGCGTATAATATTCAAAAAAAGCACAAAACCACTGACTTTCTCCTCCCCATTTTGTTTTGTTTCACTCTTTTTATCTTTAAATGTTGAATTGGAATCAAAATTATGGATTCCCCTCAGTGGTCCGATTCCCCATTGATTCACAATTGATTACTGAGCTTATTGGAAAATAACAACCCATATGGAAAAGAAATAGTAAAAACATATATGATTTACTCATGAAAGTGGCCACTTTCTCATTACTTTCATATATATTTTTTAGTAAGTATACAAAACATACAAGTTTCATTATATAATTTTTCAAGGGATCTTTTATGTGTTTTCACTCTTGTATGCTTTTCATACAAGTTTCATACAAGACAGATAAAAACTTTATAAGATTTATATATATATCTTTTCCATATGGGAATACAGGCCTACACAGCATCACTGGCTGATTTTATTATCTCTATGTCTGAACACAGTGTAGACCAAGAGTAGCCAAAAAAGGCTTGCATGTGACTTAGGTGGGAAAAAAAGCTCCAGTGCCATGAATTCAGTGTCAGCCTTCTGCAATGGACAACTGTCAGAAAACTAAGCCAGCAATAATAAAAGGGAACTGATCAGCTTGGAGTTCCAATAGACGGAGCAATTTGGCACCAGTTCTCAAGTGGAACCACTTCTCAGTTCCCAGATGCTCCAAAATTTCATTTGTATTATATTAGCCAAGGTCATTCAAACTGTGACTTTCTCTTAACTATTGTTGCATTATTTGTTAACTCACTGTTATGTTCACCATAGCTATTTTCTATTCTACTGTACCTACAATTTTGATTGTCAACAAGGTGCTTTTCTCATGTCTTCCAAGTTCTTTTAAGTCACAGCTGCAGATTGGGAGTCTTGTCTCCGTCTCAGTGCTACTACACACATTTGATGGACTAACAGGTTGTTCCTTCATCTCTTCCATCAGGAACAGAGCCCCCGGGCTCTCTCCCAAAGAGCTGCAGCCACAGTTGAACAGCATCATTCCCAAAGTCAACAAGCTTTGCAATAGCTTTAAATATCTTAGAGGCTGCATTAAAATGGGAAAGTCTGACACCATTATCCTCAGTCAAAAATCCTTTTTTAAAGCTGCTGTTTTTCCCAGTTAAGCCTAATTAGTGTGTCCGGGCATATCCAATGCATTTTATTAAACATACCTGTGGCAAAAGGGATTCTGGCAATGCTGATCCAATAAAGAATTTATTGCTCTGCACAACAAGTACTTCTTTGTGTTTCCATTAAAAAAAAAAGAAAAATACTGAGAGATGAAACAAAAAAAACTTGGCACAGAATATAGCTGTAGATGGAGTGGGCTGGAGAAGGTGTACATAAATTATACAACATACCACAGTACATTGCACATAAAAATATTGTTTCTGTCAAAACACAACAGATTTTGTTTTTGACAGCTCTGACAATGTGAAAATGTTTTATAGATCCTATATTATTTGAAAGTACGAATTGCAAATCTGTGGAAAAGCATCAGAATCAAGGAACTGATGTGAGCAAGAAAACACTGTACGCTGCGCAACTGTGGTTGAACCTTAAAATAAGCTGTGGCCCATTGACACCAAAAGTGATTCAGCTGTTACTCCACCTGTTTATAATCTCTCACACTCAAGTATGTTAAACAGGGGTGATGTTGCAGTGACACCTGTGGCCCAGCCAGCTTCCCAAACTTCTCATCATGCAAACTTTAAACTGTAACATGCAGTTTACCCGCATAAAAAATGGCGAGAAATTGTTTTCACGTGATATGCAATGTGAAATAAATCTAAGCTTTTAAGAGAACCCACTCATAGCACTAATAGTAATAAGGATGAGCAGGATTATTTGCTACTTATGCAAAAGTCAGCTAGTTGATGACATTTTAGAAATTAATTATTATTTAATGACATTGTCTTCTATCTTCTCAGTTATAGTTAAAGAAGATTTGTCTCTGCTTGATTGTTTCAGTTATTACTGGTCTGCTGTGATTGCAACAGTGTTTGCAGTGTGATGCATTTCATTCTCTATCAATGCTAACATTATGGAGGCTGAATTCCCCACAACCTTTGTTTGTTTATCTTTCACATTTACTTTGGTATGTAAATACACTCTCTGAAAGGAATGCGAAAAAAATAATACCTTAATCGTTAATGACACCATCATTTTTAAACTTTTTCTAGGACCACTGGTTTGTCATTAAAAATCAATCAAACAATTTGATTATTCAAGTAGCATGTCTTGTGATTGCAGATATAGTGCAAGAGCTCTAAAAACTACAATACAGAAAAAAACTGAGGGAACTTGGAAGAGACTCAAAAGAATGAGGACACATCAAGTACAGACTTCAGCTCGAGACACAGCTTGCTTATGCTGGTTGAAGTGCAAGTGGCTGTGCGAACCAGCCTTCAGGAGATGCCTGGAGCAATGGTCACCTAAAAGCTATGAAGGTGCCTTCATCATTTAAACGAAATATCTAAAAAAAAAAAAAAAGGCATTTCAAAGTCAGTACTGAAACACAGATCCAAACGACACAGATGCATTCCAACAGACAGCCAAACTGGCAACACTGAGACGTGTGAGAAGGCTTACACCACACAAGAAAGAGTCAGAAAAGAGTGGAACAATGAAAACAACCCTAGCATGACTTATCCAGCTGCTAAAAACAGTGGGGTCCTAATCAACAGGGAGCCATGGAGACAGTGAGTAATGTCTGAGGACAGTCCAGGGGGATCTACTGGAGGCTGGGAAGAAGCACAAGTATTTCTTTTTGTGTACACGTACTGACAGAGATATGTTTATATATTCGAGTATGGTAAATCACTCTCGCTTCACTAGTTCTTCTATGTGACTCACCGCTTCCAGACTGATGAGAGGATGGTGTAGGTGGATACACCACTGGTAAAACTCTGAGAATCTCATGAGTTTCCAATACCTGTTGGACAAACTTAATTTGGTCCTCTGAAAAAGGCTCTCTAAGAATAAACTGGTTTTATTTTTAAATGCAGCATAGCAGTTGAAACTAAACAAGAAAGTGTTTTTCTTGTTACTTGTTTGAATCACTGATTCAGTATACTGTTCATTTTAATATACTTCAAATAAGTAACATATGTAATAATAGCCACATTTTTTAGGCCTCTGTGTCAGAATTAGCTGTTGTTTTTCTTCTTTTTTTGGTATTCCATGATTTGAACATCACAGGAATGCAAGAATGGAAATGATTCAAGTTTGGCACAAACTGTTTCTGGACTCAAGGATGCACTGACAAAAATTTGGTGTTTAGGGTTCACACTGACCTTACAAATCACATTGTAGGCTTCATCTCAGGAATCCTTGCTTGTGTTTGATTACAACAAAATACTGAACAGATGTCTAACTGGAAAGGAATTAAGTGATGATAGAATGGAAAATGTGACCTTGTTTCACATTTGCTCAGATGTTGAATTAGCAACGCTAATCTAGAGTGTTTACCCCCAAACTGCAGATTTGCTTGGATTTTACAGACTTTGGGGCTGCCAGGTTGAAGAAAAAAGTGAACTTTTTTTGCAGAACTGATTACGTCGCCCTAGGAACTTAAAGTCAGGAATAACAGTAACCGGGCAATGCAGAATATGTTTATCTATTTCTAAGAAAAACAAAAGAGTCTCCAGCCATGATAACCACTCTTTCAGACTTTGCAGATTATTTTCACTGCCTTTCCTAGAGCTGTGCTGATAACATGCTTAAATATACTTTTTTGAATGATAAGAACAGAACAGGGGCGTTGCGGGGAGAACGATCCCTCCTGACCAAATGCGAAGAATGCAGCAAGTTTAATTCAATAAGAGAGTCTTCTTAATGAATCCTGACTTTCAATTTGTTAGGGACCCTGCAGTTGCACATGCTTTTTCAGACACTGGCACCAAATGTCATATCACCCAAATTTACCTCCTAAAAATGAAATGGAAATCTATTTTTCCCCATTAGAGTCTGCGGATCGAGGTGCAGTGTTGCACCAACACAATATTATATTTATCTAGATGTTGTGCCTCTTGGGCAGCTCTCTTGTAAGATATTCCATATAGATGTTGTGACAAGACACTGCTGCAAATCCACGGTCCCTCTGACCTTGTGGCAATGATGGGCCACTCTTAACGAGCTGCCTGCCAGTCGTCAGTCAGAGCAGCAGAGGCAGCCAGCCCTGGGGCCTTGCCCTCCTGGCCCCTGAGCATACATCAGCGTTGCGACAGCACACATCACTAACACCGCCAGTACCGTGATGTGACAGCTGAATCCATCTCCCACAAGCCCTACCTAAAGCCTAAACAAATTAGCGCCCCACTGAAATTAATGCCACCGCACCAATACTAATGACCATGGAGCAAAAAGAGGGGATAAGTCAAAGAATAATAAATACACCAAACAGATGTCAGCCGCACGACAGACGTTCCACAGGTGACAAATGGCGGTGAATAAAATGCACTTGTACGCATGTTCTTGTGTAGCTGAAACTTTAAAAGTGACCAAGCTAGCAATTTGTGTTTTAAAAGAATACTGCTACGCTCTTGTTGAATAAAGCAGAACAAACAGAGGAAAATGCATAGCTTGTGTTAGTACAACAATCCACATGCACATATTAACTTTCCTTACATTATATTATCTAAATACATTTTTGAAATAGGTTTCCACTGTTTATTTCAGATATAAGCTTTCCCTTCTCTACCTCTCAGTATGTCGGCCAATAAAACTTTTGATTAATATTAGCTGAAATACCAGGTGTAAATACTGCACATATTGTACACCTGCTGTGCAGTTCTGAACTTTGGATGGTCTATGGCATATTGAAAAACTCGTAGTCTACAATTACATTTTCACAGAACAGCAAATATATTGGGAACCACTGATGCAATCAATATAAAAAAAAAT